AGGCCGAGAAGAGAAGCCAAGCGAACTTGAGGCTGTTTGCCTTGAGGCCAGGAGGATTATAGAAGATTTAAACATGTCAAACGTTGAGGCTGAAGAAGGAAACGATGAGTTTCTCTTCGATATAGATTGTGAGAATGCAATGATTGTAGACCCTTCACTTGTGATCTCAAGTGACTTCTTTGACCAGGTTTCATTTCCTACCCCAACAAGCATTGTGAAGGTTGCTGATATAAGGCCAGTCAGGCCAGAGGGAAATTGGTATAAAACTGCTTCAAAATTGTCCGTGTCTCTGAAAAATATTGATGTGGGTGAGAGAAGCCAGCAACAGGGAATTGGTACTGTATCTGCAATCAGAAGAAGTGCAAATGATCAGTTACCTACCTCAATAAGCTTTGTGAAGGTTGCTGATATGAGTGAGGAGCAATGGATTCTGTTTCTTGAAAAGGTCAGGGAGCTTCTGTACCCTGCCTTTGGCAACCGAAGGCGTGCAACCACTGGGCAGAGACAGAGGCTGGGATCATCTTGCAAGTTTTGATATAATTTGACTGGCAGTCGATGTAGAAGAATGGAACTGACGACAAACTGCTCTTGTTTTTGTAGATATTTTTGGGGAGTCTGAGCTCGGTAGTAGTGAAGAACATTGTCATCGCTGGATGCAGTCCTGTGGCCTATTCTAAACGTTTTGAGACTTGGCAAGAAATCACTTGTAGAAAATTAGGGAAAAAAAAAGTACAGACAGAAATGAGGAAAAAGCGAAATCCATAGGGTGTTATATATATTGAATTTGTGAACTAATTCTGCAATTATATTTTAGTCATTTCTTTTATTTGTTTCTTCTGCTGTGTGCTCCCATTAAATCTATCTAGCTGAGATTTACATGTTCAAAAGGGCAGATAAATCATCCATTGAGTATTTTAAGTGGGCCAACCGCAACCACCCTCCTCCCCCACCTTGATTTTAAATGAAGCATATAGCACCCAATGTTTAAATGTTAGCTTTGTAAAATAAATACAATAAAACGAGTTCATACAAATAGAATCGATTTTTTATTTCATAGAATGAATGAATGAATCAAGGTGGGGTTATGAATGAATGAATGAACAAGATCCCTAGGGTGAATGAATGAATGAATGAGATCCCTAGGCTTATGAATGAATGAATGAATGAATGAATAAGTGAGAATCAATGGAATTAGACACAATACACAATTGGAACCCTAGGGATCTTATTCATGCTAATGACAACTAATGAATAATTTTTAGGAGGGAGGGTGCAAACTATTTCGGTGGCTGGGATGCGGCGGTCGGGACAGATTATGATAAACCTTGACTTAATTTTGCAGAACCTGCCATAATGGAACTGACTACATCTTTCACAAAACCATAAAAACAATCTCGGCAGGACTTGGGCATCAAATTGGATTTATGTTGCAGACGAAACTGCTCGGTGTGGAAGCATACTAAGCTTGGAAAGGAAGGCATGCCAGACTTTGGATGCTCTAAACCACATGCAGCCAAGATGGTATGCGTGGAACGCCATGCAATTTCCTTGAATGCATCCACTTCTGCAGAAGCAACAAATTTGGAGTAAAAGTAATTAACTTCTGTTCATGTTACAAATTTCTTTCATCTAAATCCATACAAACAAACATTACACACAGACTGCAAAGGAGACTAAATATTTCTGTATGAATAACAATGCAATGAAATATAAATAGTTCCAAACAAGTTTCAAGGTACTATCGCTTTCCTGTTTTCTCCACACCATGCAAATGGTAAAAATGGTAAATTACTTTTTTGTTCTTTTTCTTTCTCAAGTAATAGTGCACTCTTCATCAAAATAATGCTTAGCTGCTATGAGAATAGATACGGGTTAAATTTGTACTACCTACCCTTATAACTTGCAAATTATAGCATTGACCAAAATAAGTATATGTATGTAGATCAAGTACTAAATTAAAGCATGAAAATCATACCTAACCGTTTGTCTTTGCTTAAAAGCTTCAAGTTGATCTTGACAAGAGATTTGATTTCGCTTTTGGCATCATCATATTTTCTGACTATGCTTTCCACACAATTCTCTGCCCCTCCAATATTTCTCTTCTGCACATCTAGTTTACTGGAAGAAGAAGCAATGAGCACTGGTTTGGCATAAAAAGAAGAACAAGCAGGCCCACTTTGCTCATCAATGACATTTTTTGAAGCCTGATTTGCATGTCTCTGTAACAATGTTGACCCATTTAAGTTCCCAGAAAACTGAGATTCAAATAATCCTGGTGAATTACTAGTTGAAAGGCCTTCGCTAGACTCTACTCCCTCCTGAGCTGTACCCCTGAACTGCCTTCCCTTTTCCAACTTTACAGATTGATGTCTTATTGTTTCTTTCTCACGAGAATTATATTTGTAGGCTTCCATTTCAGTTCTTCTCCGATCCCAGTCTCCAAGTTGTTGACTTTCTAAAATATCAACACTTGAGTTTACATTCATTGCTTCTTTTGAGGCACTCGCTTCCCTAGAAAGAAGTTTTGGGTGCTGAACAGCACTGCTGGTCTTTGTATGAACATTTTTCCATGCCTTGTCAATATCATCTGAGCCACAACCAACTTGATTTGTTGGTCTCTGACAACCAGTGGAAGACGAGGATTGCGCTTGACCTGATATACCAAAACATGAATGATGAGTTCGTTTAATTGAATCACTGTTTCTGCCAGCAGGAAGTTTTGAGAACTGAACTGCGCTGCTGCACTTTTCATGAGCATGCTGTACTGACCTTGCAATATCCATCATTTTCCATGCCTTGTCAATATCATTATCATGTGAACCACACCTCTCTCGATTTTCCAGTTGCTGGCAACTTGTAGACGATGAGGTTTGTGTTTCGCCTGATCTTTCATGGAATACAACGCCATTATTATGCTTTTGACTACAACTGCAGCCAGATGTAGATGAATTAGAAGGGAAGCTCAACAAACCACTTTGGAAGGAATTCCAATTTTCACGAAGTGCTTGTACACGAGTGTGCACATTGCGATGGCGATCCAATGTTCTCGCAATTGATTCAGTTGGTCTATTGGCAACAGTTGGTCGTGTTCTTGCAACCGATTCAGTTGGTCTACCGGCAACAGTTGGTAGTGTATTTGCAACTGATTCAGTTGGTCTATCGGCAACAGTTGGTAGCGTACTTGCAACTGAATCATTTGGTCTACTGGAAACATTTGGTAGTGTACTTGGAACTGAGTCAGTTGGTCTATTGGAAACACTTGGTAGTGTTCTTTCTGGCGTAGTTACTTCAACAGTAATACTGGTACACCCGTCAGGGACAACAGGTATGACTATTTGAGGGATTCTCATCATATATCTATTAACCACTGTGTTATGACTATTTGATCCTCGTTCACTGGGCAAGCCAGATGGCACAGCTGTTGGTATGAATTCTTCATCATCAGAATCCGAACTGACATGATTTTCAATCGTAGAAATGCAGTCTTGGCAGAACCAATCATCGTCTGGTAAAGTATGACCAAGTCCAACACAGTATGTATGAGCGGCTGAGTCACACATCTCACAAAGCAACAGAAGACTTTCATCTGTAGCAAGGTGGCACACATCACACACAACATGTTCATAAGAATGGTAAACCTGCAAATTACAAAACAACCAATGTGAGGGAAATATAAATTTGGAAAACCTTCAACTTTAGCAAGTAGCAAACTTTTTTTGTTAAATTACAAAACAACCAATGAATGTTAGGGAAATATAGATTTGAAAGAATTTGAAGTTCAGCAAGTAGCGAACTTTTTTTGTTAAATCACAAAACAACCAATGTTAGGGAAACATAGATTTGAAAGACATTGAGCTTTAGCAAGCAGCAAATTTTTTTGTTAAATTAGAACACAACCAATGTGACGGAAACATAAATTTGAACGACACTGCTTTAACAAGGTGTAAAATTTAATCATAAATTTGTTGAATTAGAGCCGTTAATGAAAAATAAAAAGCCCAAATCAGCAATACAAGTGAAAACAAACAAATATTGTCACCTGATCGCGAAGGGGAACCTTGAAGGTTCGCTGGCGGGCAAAGACACCGGCTTTCCGGTGTCTACGAATGGTGGTGAACCTGCTTCGACAAAGTGGGCAGCGTGATTCCGTCTTAGACCACTCCATAATGCAGTAGAAGCAGAAGTAGTGATCACAGCAATCGATTTCGCCTCTGACCGCTTTCTCATCGTTGGAGTAGCAAATTGCGCAGCTCTGAGAAGAAGAAGAACTTTCAATTTCTTGGGGGTCGTCTTGGATTGGGTCCTTTCCTAATTGGATTTCGGGTTTAAGGGTTTTCAGGCGTTTGTTTGGGGAAGAAAAAGACGACATGTCTGTGTCACCCGCCATTGGCAGCTTATTAGTGTTACTATGCTATTTCTGCGCCAAGACTTGGAAGCTTTTATTTTGCTACGGAAATCCTAACAGAATCGGGATTATCGGAGTTTAAATGGGTTTGGGCTGGCTTAGTTCTTAAATTTCAGGGCCCAAGTTACCAACGTCTCATTAATTTTTTATTTTCGATCAGCCCATGAAAATTTATTGTTTATTTTGTTCACCATTGTCGTCTAGAGAGTAGCACTTCTCAGATTAAAGACACATGATGATGGAGGCAAAATATCTCTTTGGTGGGCCAAAACCCAAAAGGGCAGCCTCTCCACTTCTCGCGTGTGGGAGGGAGCATGGTCTGCCTGCGACTAAACTATTCGTTTTTTTTATTCGAGCCTACGCTCCCCGTGGTTTCTGTTTCTAATTATTCTTATTTCTCCATAAAAGAAAAGAAAAAAATAGAAGATAAATTTCTGTTTTGTTTGAATTTTTTGTGCATTGTTTTTGTTTGATATGCAACTCGTTAGTTGAGGCCAAGACCCCATTGAACATAAAAACAATAAAAAATGCAGACTCTAATTTGAGATTTGTTAACTAAAATGGTTAGTTTTCCGATTAATTTGTATTTAAATCAATGTGTTTTTATATGTGGTTAAATTGACAGGATACCAAATACAATACCTACATTTCGCGCAAAATATAAAAAATAATTACCACCACCATGTCGCATTGTTGAATGACTTTAATTTTCCGAATCATATAGCATAATGTTACACTTATCATATTTTTATTTTAACGACAATTAAAGTAATGAGATATATAAACAAAAGGAAAAAGTGATGCTAAAGCAAAAATGTTCTCACGAGTCACGGCGATAAATGATGACCTAACCCCACTCCTAAAGCTTACTTTCCAGTTTCCTTCCACCATTGATGTACCACAACTCTCAAACACATTCCACTGCCACAGAGCTTTGAAAAAACGTCCTAACTGCTCTCGATCACCATGACCAGTTCAAGCACCACCACCCCAAACCATGCAACCCATGTCTTGGTGTTCCCATACCCAGCACAGGGTCACATGATCCCTCTCCTCGACCTCACCCACCAACTCGCCAACCGCGGCCTCACCATCACCATTCTCGTCACCCCCAAAAACCTCCCTTTTCTCCAACCTCTCCTCTCCGCCCACAACCACCCTAATAATTCCATCCAAACCCTCGTCCTCCCTCTCCCCTCCCACCCCTCCCTCCCCGCCGGCTTCGAGAACGTCAAGGACCTCCCCGTCCACTCCTTCCTCGCCATGATGTGCGCCTTGGGCCAACTCCACCACCCTCTCCTCCGTTGGTTCACCTCCCACCCCAACCCTCCCGCTCTGCATCCGAAGGCACGTCCTCCCCCCCTCCGGCGCCTTGGCCCTCTCCGTCATCGACTCGCTCTGGCACCGCCTCCTCAAACGAGACGACCCCAACGACCAAAACCAGGTCTTCTCGTTCCCCGAAATTCCGAATTCCCCGAAATACCCCTGGTGGCAGCTCTCCACCGTCTACCGCTCCTACGTCGAGGGAGACCCAGATTCGGAATTCATCAAGGACGGCTTCGACGCCAACAGGGCCAGCTGGGGACTCGTCGTCAACTCGTTCACCGAGTTGGAGCGAGTTTATCTCGAGCATCTCAAGAATGAGCTGGGCCACGATCGCGTGTGGGCCGTTGGACCGCTGGTCCCGCCGGATTATAATGACCTATCTGGGCCTGCACAGAGGGGCGGGTCCAGCTCGGTTTCCGTAGACCGCATCAAGTCGTGGCTGGACGCGTGCGTAGAGGATCACAAGGTGGTGTACGTGTGCTTCGGGACTCAAGCCGTGTTGACCAATCGCCAGATGGAGGCGCTGGCGTCGGGATTGGAGAAGAGCGGAGTCCGCTTCGTGTGGTCGGTGAAGGGCCCCACGAAGGGACACGCGGAGGGAGATTACGGCGCTGTTCCTCCCGGGTTCGACGATCGAGTGGCGGGGAGGGGCCTGGTGATAAGAGGGTGGGCACCGCAGGTCTTTATCTTGAGGCACCGAGCGGTGGGGTCGTTCTTGACTCACTGCGGGTGGAACTCGGTGCTTGAGGCGGTGGTGGCAGGTGTGCCGATGCTAGCGTGGCCCATGGGGGCTGACCAATTCAGCAACGCCACGTTGCTGGTGGACCAGCTGAAGGTGGGGGTCAGGGTGTGCAAGGGGGCGGGAAGCGTGCCTGACTCGGACGAGTTGGCCCGAGTGGTGGCGGAATCGGTGAGTGTGAAGCGGGTCGAGAGGGAGCGAGCCGTGGAGTTGCGTGAAGCGGCACTCGAGGCCATCAAAGAAGGCGGGAGCTCGGTGAAGGAGTTGGATAGTTTGGTGGATCGTCTGGCTGCATTGGAAATACCGGCAGGCAGTAAAAATTTGCAATCGATGCGAAATGGAAATTAGAGTGAAAATAGGCATGAATATAATAATATTAAAATTAAATATTTACTACCAATACCAATTTGGTGGTTTTTCCTTTTAATGGGCGGGCCTTTCTCTTTTCTTTTCTTTTGGGCCTTAGAATGAATTGTAATTTTTGAACATTTAATATCTTTTAGAAAATTCGGTGTACAACTCCAAAATCAAAAACAGAAGTTGGATGTAATCTTTGTATTTGTCGTTGTTAATACAAGTTATTAGACTTTTGTGCCATATATGATTACATTTTTTTTTTCACTTTTAAATTACTTTGTTATTCCCATCATGTCCCTAAAAAATAAATAAGGTAAGAAATTTATTTGTGTCATAATAATTAGCTATTATATATTTGAAATAATTAAATAAGGCAACAAATCACATCTCCTTTAATTTTTGAAATAGTTATTATATTTCAGTCATGATCCTATATGAACATTGGCTTTCTTTCTGTTGTGGCTTTGTATTCTTGCACTATTGCAACCTATACACAAGGTACATAAATATTCTTTTACTCTTTGCCACAACTTTTGTTATTCACTAATTTTGTTTGTTTGTTTTCTTCTTTGATAATACAATTCCTCACTAAAATACTCTCATTGTTTTACATTTTATTTTGTTTAGCTCACTTTTTTTCTTCATGTTTTTGTTGCTATAAAGTTCATTCCCCCCTAATATTTTTAATTAAGATGTGTAGGGACTTTTTCGTTCCGGCAGCTACTACGGACCTGGGCTGCCGTAAATAACAAAATGGATGAAATTGCCCCTTGAGCCTGAGTTCGAATATCAAGCCCCAAGATTGCTTCGAAAGGACAATAGGGCCTTAGAAAACACATTGGTTACCTTCACCAACAAAAATAATAACAGCTTACAGATAAATTTTATAGCTTGACATGAGAAACTTGTGGCATAAGAGCAAAATTGTCATGAGTTTGGCACTTAAAAGAAAACTAAGTGTTCCTAGGGGGAAAAGGGGTATTAAGGTAGGAGATGAAGAGCTCGCAGAGAGGTTTGGCTGAGAATAAGGAAAAAGAGAGGAATATGTGGCTTGAGTATTACTTTCGGCAACTTGACAATGACTCTGTCAAATGCTAGAGTAGCCTGCCATAAGAGGGGAAAATGGGGAGGAGGATGAACAGAGCACGAATTTGTTGGGTGTTGCAGGTGAGAAAGGAAGCTTGCTATCTGAAATGTGGGTTGTTCTGGGTAACTTTCCAGCAGCCTGACAATAGCTATGTCAGACTCTGGAATTGCATGCCATAAGAGAAAATGGGAGGAGATGAAGGAGTAGGACAAGAAATTGCAGAAATTTCAGAGTGAGAGATGAAGCTTGCTCTCTAGATGTGTGTTGTTGATGATGGGTAGGAAATGCCTCTTTTTATAATCGCTGGAAACTACATTTTTCCAAGAAACCCTAATGGCTTCTACCCAATTTGGCCAAGTCTTTCCCTTCCTTTATTCCCTCATCCCTTCAATCATCCTATTTTGGTGAAATCTACTCTGCCCATTTGCACAAAATCAGGTATTCTTGCACTATTGCAACCTATAGGTACATAAATATTCTTTTACTCTTTGCCACAACTTTTGTTATTCACTGATTTTGTTTGTTTGTTTTCTTCTTTGATAATACAATTCCTCACTAAAATACTCTCATTGTTTTACATTTTATTTTGTTTAGCTCACTTTTTTTCTTCATGTTTTTGTTGCTATAAAGTTCATTCCCACCTAATATCTTTAATTAAGAGGCAATTAACCATTAACACATGTGGATTTTGTGTCCCCCTCCCCCCCCCCCCCCCCCAAAAAAAACATCATTTTCGATTCCTTTGTTTCTTGATAGTTAATTATCTTCCAGTTTTTCCCATGTTTTTGTTGTGGCATTTTACGATTATTGGTTATCTCACTCAAATCCACACATTTTATCTAAAATCTTCATGTTTATCATGTATAGTAGAATATACTATTTATGTGTTAGGTACATTATGTTATATTTACCTGGTAATTAGGTACATTATTTTATGGGTAGTTGTGTTCTATAAAAATAGGATTCATTATCTAATTTTTCTTTTAATTTTTCTTTTTTTAATATGAAAAAGTGTGAATTTACCATATTATCATCATTTAATTAATAATTTCAATTCTTAATATTTGAATTAACCAAGGGTATTTTATGGTATTTTGAATATTTTACCATTCTTTACATTTTGCTTTATATATATAGATTTACCTAATAATTAGGTATATTATATCATATTTACCTAGTAGTCAGGTAAACATTTGTTGGAAAGATATCATCAATAATTCTCCTACTTTCATTGTTTTATATTAACTTCTTTTATGTCATGGCGGCAATAGAAGGATTCCAAATTTAAAATTTGAAATCTATTTAGAAGGAAAGAATCGATAGATTAATTTGGATTTTCAATTACTGTTCTTTCCTTATGTACCTCAAATGGTAAAATTGACATGTGAAAAAATTAATAAAAGTCAATGGACCCAAATCTACAGCAAAAAAGGTGTGGACTAAACCCAATAACAACTACGAATTTTGGCCTTAGATTGAAGAACGCCAATATCTTTTCCATACATACAAGTACGACACTCCAAATTTGTCGCTCCCTCAAAATGCTTACATAACCACAAATGATAACCCAAAGAAGATATAGAAAAACAAAAGCGTTTACAAAAATCACAAAACGCTACCTATATATATATAAGAAAAACCTAGCTAAATGAGGAAATGAAGAGTATAACAAAACTTTGTGTCCTAAAACTAAAGCCGCCGCCTTCACTGCTACCACTAGTGCTCTTGCTCTTCCTTAGTTATTCTTAGGTGGATGAGGTTTCGGGACATGATAATCGGCATTGAGAGGTATAAAACCTTCGATTTTGAACTTCATTCGACGACGACGATTACTTGTGCTTCTGATGAACCTACGTTCTCTACCAATATTATTGAACCCTTCCTCATTTATCATTCCCGAAATCCTTTTAGGCATGCTCATTTTCCTGCCCCCGATTCTTGTACATTCAACTTCATCCATGGCGGCAGGAACGCCATCATAAATTTCCTGATTTTATTAGAGAATAAGATATATCAAATTTCTAGAACATGTATGTATATTTCAGAGTATTCTGTAATATATGTACTAGTATACCTTTTCAACATTTACGGGGCTTCTTCTTGGTATTGGTCGCCCAATTTCATCAGAAGCCAGTACTTTGCTCAAAGCTACAAGAACATCAAACTAAGAATCAAAGCTATATATGGATATATATGTGTACTTTCATCATTTAAGAAATTTAAGGAAAAGAGCAAATACGTAAGTTGAAATGTACGTACCTCCGTGTGTTACATGTAGCAAAATGAAGAAGAGTACAAGGGTAATGATGAACCTTAGAAACACCATATCTTTCTGTTCCTTTTCTTCTTTGGGTAGCTAGCGAAAGAGAGGAACCCTATGAAATGGAACGGGGGTGTTTATAGAGTCCAGAGCTAGTACGTACGGCTAGTCAACACTATATGTGTCGTAATTAAAATATGATTAGGGGGTTCTCTGGGGAAAAGGATCAAAACAAATAACAGAAAACAAAGCAGAGTTCAAATTAAGCTTTGGTTAATGGAAAGGCATTGAAAATGGTTTTTCTATATATATATATAGTTGAAATTGTTTGGAAAAAGTGTTGTGAATGTGATCGCGTGGAATGGAAGATACGGTGTTCAGCGCCTGTCTGCCGCCGTGCATGCAACGAGGAGGTTTGTTTTTCTGGCCAAGGTTGGCTGCATACAAGTTAGCCATAGGGTTTTGGACTTTGAAACAGGTAAAAGTGAGTTTGATAAGCACATGCTTAGCTTAGCTTGTCATTTGACCAAGTTGCCTGGGCACACCTTCATATATAGTAGGCCTCCTTATAGACTTAGTAAATTTTTAAGTGTGAATAGGAAGCTTTGGTCATACTTAATTAGCTTATCTGTTAGATTTATTATTATTTTTTACCATAAGGCTGCCCAAGCATGTCGATATTTGACTGATTTTAGTCGTGAACTGTGAAAAAGTGGGTTCAAACTTCAAATACCATGGTATACATGGATGAAAGTGAAAAACGTTTTATATTCACATGAATTTTGAAATATGAGATACGTAATTTGCAGTCGGTGATTCAATCTTTGTCTTCAAAAACCTAATTTGCAAATTTCAATCATCATGTTACTCACTAAAATCCTATTATATATGCGATCAAATAAGCTGAATCAAAGCGCACCATTCATACAAAACAATATACAAACCCTAAAGAAATGTTAATTACTTTTTATTAGTAAGTTTTATTCTCCGTGGCTTTGCTTGAAGAATTTGTACGCTGATGGACCCAAAAAGATCTTAGCTTTAAGAATTTAGGGATTCTAAATGCATGTGGATATGTAAGTTCGGAGAACAAATTTCAATTAAAGACAACTTTTGGTTTGCAAGTTCGGCAAACAAACCATAGGGGTTCAATGTTCAAATAAAAAAAGAAAGTTGTTTTGCCTTTACAAAACATGGTCACATGGAACCAACCTTCGGTCTACACTACATATGTATATTTTGCATCCTTGGGAGTCACGCGTACCTTGTTAACTCATTGGAAAAGGTCCAATAAGAAACCCAACCAAACCAAAACAGTATGCTCATACTCTTCCACCCGACATTGAATCCACTAATAGAAAGCAATTTCAGATTTGGGTATGAAGGAAAGAAAAATGAATAAAAAGGAAGGCGAATGAAAAAAATTATTTTTTGTTTCTCTCATTTTTGACAATATCAGTATTCGAAACTAATATAGTGTATGGAGACGGCCGGAGTTCGAACTTAGCTTACCCCACATATGCGGAAAAGAAATCCATATTTTCTTAATTTTTTTTAACACATTAGCATCAAAGTAGGTACCACACTTGCCACATCATCAATTTAAAAGAAAATGGCTTAATTATGTACATGCCTACTGTGCTTTCCAACTTATCTCAGATTACCACCTGTGGTGGAAAATGTCTCAAAGTATCCCCCAACGTGCAAAAAATGTCTCACGTTATCCTTTCCGTCAGTTTTTTTGAAGTTCCGTTACGAACGTTACTGTTCATCTCCCCCAAAATTCCAGAACAGCAGCTCCTCCCATTTGTTATTGTTCATCGCACCAGTTTTTGGGCTGCCATCGCCTCCTCCGGCCACCCCAAGCGACGACATGGATATCAAAAGAAC